CGGCGGCGGTGTCCGGCGGGGGGGGGGCGGCCCCTTCTACGGGACACAGGAGCGATCTGGTGACAGGTAAGTCGCCAGAATCGCTTCTGTTGTAAAGCCGACAGTCGTTTAAACAGCCCCGATGCTGGCGACGTACACTGTACATCGTCAGTCACGAAGGGGTTAACATTCCATCTTGGAACGGATGGAGTTCTCCAAATGAAAACCAAAAACCAACGAGAAAGAAAATCTCCATCCCGCTCCTTGGAGTGTTTTTGTAACTACAGTTGAGAATGAAGATCAATATGACCCCTGAGAACCGAAAGTGACCCCAGAAAACCCTGAAGAGATGAGTCTTAAGGGATCGCCTAAAGGCAGTCAGTGTGGGAGATAGACGGACAGGTTGGGGTAAATGTATGGAACACCATACAGAGTATACACCCCCCACCTCACTGGCCTTCATGAGCACCATATAGAGTATACACCCCCCACCTCACTGGCCTTCATGGGGCACCATATAGAGTATACACCCCCACCTCATCGGCTATCATGGGACACCATACAGAACCCCCCACCTCACCGGCCTTCATGGGACACCATATAGAGTATACACCCCCACCTCACCGGCCTTCATGGGACCCCATATAGAGTATACACCCCCCACCTCACCGGCCTTCATGGGACCCCATGTAGAGTATACACCCCCACCTCACCGGCCTTCATGGGACACCTTGCAGAGTATACACCCCTCGCCGTCCTTCATGGGACACCATACAGAGTATACACCCCCCACCTCACCAGCCTTCATTGGGCACCATATAGAGTATACACACCCCACCTCACCGCTCTTCATGGGACACCATACAGAGTATACACCCCCCACCTCACCGGCCTTCATGGGACACCTTGCAGAGTATACACCCCTCGCCGTCCTTCATGGGACACCATATAGAGTATACCCCCCCCACCTCACCGGCCTTCATGGGGCACCATAGAGAGTATACCCCCCCCACCTCACCGGCCTTCATGGGGCACCATAGAGAGTATACCCCCCCCACCTCACCGGCCTTCATGGGGCACCATAGAGAGTATACCCCCCCCACCTCACCGGCCTTCATGGGGCACCATAGAGAGTATACCCCCCCCACCTCACCGGCCTTCATGGGGCACCATAGAGAGTATACCCCCCCCACCTCACCGGCCTTCATGGGGCACCATAGAGAGTATACCCCCCCCACCTCACCGGCCTTCATGGGGCACCATAGAGAGTATACCCCCCCCACCTCACCGGCCTTCATGGGGCACCATAGAGAGTATACCCCCCCCACCTCACCGGCCTTCATGGGGCACCATAGAGAGTATACCCCCCCCACCTCACCGGCCTTCATGGGGCACCATAGAGAGTATACCCCCCCCACCTCACCGGCCTTCATGGGGCACCATAGAGAGTATACCCCCCCCACCTCACCGGCCTTCATGGGGCACCATAGAGAGTATACCCCCCCCACCTCACCGGCCTTCATGGGGCACCATAGAGAGTATACCCCCCCCACCTCACCGGCCTTCATGGGGCACCATAGAGAGTATACCCCCCCCACCTCACCGGCCTTCATGGGGCACCATAGAGAGTATACCCCCCCCACCTCACCGGCCTTCATGGGGCACCATAGAGAGTATACCCCCCCCACCTCACCGGCCTTCATGGGGCACCATAGAGAGTATACCCCCCCCACCTCACCGGCCTTCATGGGGCACCATAGAGAGTATACCCCCCCCACCTCACCGGCCTTCATGGGGCACCATAGAGAGTATACCCCCCCCACCTCACCGGCCTTCATGGGGCACCATAGAGAGTATACCCCCCCCACCTCACCGGCCTTCATGGGGCACCATAGAGAGTATACCCCCCCCACCTCACCGGCCTTCATGGGGCACCATAGAGAGTATACCCCCCCCACCTCACCGGCCTTCATGGGGCACCATAGAGAGTATACCCCCCCCACCTCACCGGCCTTCATGGGGCACCATAGAGAGTATACCCCCCCCACCTCACCGGCCTTCATGGGGCACCATAGAGAGTATACCCCCCCCACCTCACCGGCCTTCATGGGGCACCATAGAGAGTATACCCCCCCCACCTCACCGGCCTTCATGGGGCACCATAGAGAGTATACCCCCCCCACCTCACCGGCCTTCATGGGGCACCATAGAGAGTATACCCCCCCCACCTCACCGGCCTTCATGGGGCACCATAGAGAGTATACCCCCCCCACCTCACCGGCCTTCATGGGGCACCATAGAGAGTATACCCCCCCCACCTCACCGGCCTTCATGGGGCACCATAGAGAGTATACCCCCCCCACCTCACCGGCCTTCATGGGGCACCATAGAGAGTATACCCCCCCCACCTCACCGGCCTTCATGGGGCACCATAGAGAGTATACCCCCCCCACCTCACCGGCCTTCATGGGGCACCATAGAGAGTATACCCCCCCCACCTCACCGGCCTTCATGGGGCACCATAGAGAGTATACCCCCCCCACCTCACCGGCCTTCATGGGGCACCATAGAGAGTATACCCCCCCCACCTCACCGGCCTTCATGGGGCACCATAGAGAGTATACCCCCCCCACCTCACCGGCCTTCATGGGGCACCATAGAGAGTATACCCCCCCCACCTCACCGGCCTTCATGGGGCACCATAGAGAGTATACCCCCCCCACCTCACCGGCCTTCATGGGGCACCATAGAGAGTATACCCCCCCCACCTCACCGGCCTTCATGGGGCACCATAGAGAGTATACCCCCCCCACCTCACCGGCCTTCATGGGGCACCATAGAGAGTATACCCCCCCCACCTCACCGGCCTTCATGGGGCACCATAGAGAGTATACCCCCCCCACCTCACCGGCCTTCATGGGGCACCATAGAGAGTATACCCCCCCCACCTCACCGGCCTTCATGGGGCACCATAGAGAGTATACCCCCCCCACCTCACCGGCCTTCATGGGGCACCATAGAGAGTATACCCCCCCCACCTCACCGGCCTTCATGGGGCACCATAGAGAGTATACCCCCCCCACCTCACCGGCCTTCATGGGGCACCATAGAGAGTATACCCCCCCCACCTCACCGGCCTTCATGGGGCACCATAGAGAGTATACCCCCCCCACCTCACCGGCCTTCATGGGGCACCATAGAGAGTATACCCCCCCCACCTCACCGGCCTTCATGGGGCACCATAGAGAGTATACCCCCCCCACCTCACCGGCCTTCATGGGGCACCATAGAGAGTATACCCCCCCCACCTCACCGGCCTTCATGGGGCACCATAGAGAGTATACCCCCCCCACCTCACCGGCTTTTATAGGACACTGTACAGGGTATACACCCCCCACCACATCGGCTATCATGGGACACCATACAGAGTATACACCCCCCA